ACCAATGAATAGGTCATGTTCAATGTGCAGCTAGCTATTCTTTTTCTACAATCCTCTTAACAGTAATAAATTGGGCCCCCAATTTATGTTGACTTTGGGCCTTTACTGGCAAATGTATATTCGCCAATGTCATATACACACACAGTATAGCTGCAAGCATACATTTACCAATACAAAATCTACAATAGAACTGCAAACATATATTTGCGAATGTTATATACACAATGGAGCCAGCCGCATGTAAAATTGCTATGGTGCACAATTAAACGCCAAGACGGCTGTTGGAGGAGGCACTAGAGCAGCTGTCATACCAGAAATATGTCATGACGTTTGCGGAAGGACGTTTGCACACACCCGGAAGTGGAAGTGGAGAGTGTGAGTGGATAGGGACTGTAGTTAGGAGAGTTTAGTGGTAATTTGCAAGTCTATTTTTTAGTTTTGTGAATTGTTCTTTTGTGGAATTCCAGACCACATCTGGACATTGCGAAATCGCTGTTCTCCACCGAGGAGCTGATCCTCATTTGCTGGGGAAATATTACTAATAATCAGGGCTTTCTTTCTGCCGGAACGCGGCGGTACTGCGTTCCGCCACCTTTTTCTTCTTGTCCCCGCTCACCGACTGCCTCTGCAGAGCTGACAAGCTATGCAGAGCAGCGAAAGTGACAGGTGCCGGACGCGGCTTGTTTATGTCATGCTTGCGCGTGCCCGGCACCTGTCACTGCCGCTGCTCACGGTGAGCGGGGACATGCACGCTTCACCCCCCCCCCCTCTACCGCCAGCGTGTAAACATCGGGGCGCGGACGATGGGCGAGGACACTATGCACGCTTCACCGCCCCCCCCCCCCGCCGGCGTGTAAACATCGGGGCGGCGCGGCGACATCAACGGCAGTGACAGCGTGGACGCAGGGGCCGTACAGCTTGGAGTAGGTAAGCTGCGCTCGGCTCCCTGTCACTGACTGCAGTATCATGTATTGCTCTAAATTTTTACTCTCTCCCCAGCCTGTGCCCACCTAAACTATCCCAACCACCTGTGCCCACCTAAACTATCTGAGCCCACCTAAACTATCCTCACCCACCTGAGCCCACCTAAACTATTTCAGAACGCAATTGCTCAGCGCTCAGCGGCGCCGATCGAGAGCGCCCCTCCTGTGCATGAGGAACAGGAAAGATAAATTCAGTGATGGACGGTATTTTTTTGGAGGAAAAGGTGGCAACCCTAGGGGAGCCTGTAGGAGCAGGCACATCTACCAGACAGGGTACACATGCATGCTAGACTGATTTTATATCTATGCTGGACGTTTACAAACGGCCTGCCATGATTTTATATCTATGCATGTGTTCCTGGTGTCAGTACGGTACTGATTTTATATCTATGCGTGTGTTTCTGGTGTCAGTACGGTACTGATTTTATATCTATGCATGTGTTTCTGGTGTCAGTACGGTACTGATTTTATATCTATGCGTGTGTTTCTGGTGTCAGTACGGTACTGATTTTATATCTATGCATGTGTTTCTGGTGTCAGTACATTAGTCATTTTATATCTATGCATGTGTTTCTGGTGTCAGTACGGTACTGATTTTATATCTATGCGTGTGTGTTTCTGGTGTCAGTACGGTATTCATTTTATATCTATGCATGTGTTTCTGGTGTCAGTACATTAGTCATTTTATATCTATGCATGTGTTTCTGGTGTCAGTACATTAGTCATTTTATATCTATGCATGTGTTTTCATGCAGATCATGCAAGAGGCAGCCGGGGGTCCGATGACATCATTTCCCTTATATGGTATGTACGGGAAATGATGTCATCGGAAGCCCCTCCCAAATTTTACTTGCATTCCTGTTCTCTAAAGGGGTGGTCCTAGGGTTTGATGGGGGCGTGGCCAGGTTTGGGTGGGGGAGTTCCACCACCTTTCCTCTGAGAAAAAAAGCCCTGCTAATAATTGTATTTTCAGTTGAAAACATGTCTAATTCCTAGATCCATTGAGGTACATGGCAAAGGTTCAAGGTTCTTCCTAACTATACAGGTGGCACAGACACAAGCATACACCCAGGGCCACTGTTAGATATCATGGGGCCCCGTACAGCATACCTGACAGCCCCTCACCGCCAGAGAAAATATCCAAATTATATTTATGGTAAAAATACACTAAACATTATTAATGGACATAATCCCAACCATATTTCTGTGAAATCTAAATGATAAAACTGTACTGAGTTCATAAATAAAGCTGTGTGTGTAATTGAGGTTTTGGGGCTCATGGGTGCTGTGGCCTGTAGAGTGGGAATCAGTGGTTGGTTTTTGTGGCTATCGCCGTTTGCAGGCAACCTATGTTACACTATGGAATTGCTGCAGGTCATAATTTGACCAGCATATGGGTGCAGGTGTACAGCCCTGAACACCGTGAGCATTCAGGGCCACTTCCCCACGCCATCACACCTGTCAGATTAAAACCTGTGTTCATTCAGCTGCTGTGTCCCCATAGTGTAACAGGTGGCTCTAGCCACATAAACAACCCACTCATTCATGCTGTACAGGCCAGAGGACCTGTGTGAATGGGGCATTTTTTACTTTTTTTTTTTTTTTTTTCCCTCAGCTCGTTAATTTCAATGGCCTGCCTAATGTGTGGGAACATGCAAAAATACTACAGGCATATTATTATAAAAGTGTGTTGCACCTAACCGTGCACATCTGCAAAGGGCATTGCATTTCTTTGCTGTGCTGGAAAATGTGTGTTCTTGCATGCGTTTCTGCACCACCAATGGTGTGAACAAGTCCTAAGGGCCAGTTCACACTATAGAAACAGTCTAGATGTGTTCCTGATGTGTTTTTTGCATGCCCTTTTGGCATGCATGTTTAGTGTGTTCCAGTACATTTTGGATGCGTTTTGGACACGTTGCATTGCATTTTTGTATCCCTTCCAGTTCGTTTTTTCTACTTTATTTTTATTCAATTTAATTAGGGACGTGTGCGTTTTAGTACATTCAAGGACATTTCAATGTGTTCCAGTACAGTTCTGTGCAGAAACAATGCAGTGTGGTCAACTTTGTTTACAGCACCTGCAATGCACTGAAAATGCAAGCGCTGATGTGAACTATGACATTGACAACCATATAACCTTCTTTCTGTGCGTTTGTGATGCCGAAAAAGCAACTGAAACACATGTAGTGTGAACTGGTCCTAAAGATTATTAGAGGTAAGGGAACGGGACTGAGCAGGGATTGTGAATTCAATCAGATTAGTGGTGATATACAATCAGCAATCGTATAATAATGTGAGATCTGAGCTGTAGCTGATAGAAAATGAGACACATTCACTTGATCAGTAAATAGTTAAAAAGAGTGGGGCGGTGATCCATAGATTTGCATATGGGACAGGTGATGATGGGGTGGGGGAGGGGGTCAAGTTGTATAACGAGACAGATTTAAAAGAAGAGAAAAAAAGTTACAATGAAATATACACAGCATGAAACTTGCACATTTCCTAATTGGCAGAAGAACAGGATGCAGGTAATATTCATCCACTTTCTAGTCATTAGGCAAAATCATAATTGATTGATCAATATTCCTCCTGGCACTGACACAACCCAGAAAATTGATCTCCATTTTTTTAACGTTCATAAATGTCAAGGAGCTTATAATCTAAGGGCAGAAACTCAGCCATGTAACTAGGTCCAATGAGCCTAACAGCATGTCTTTTGAGTGTTGGCAGAAACACATCCTGTTAGAATGGACTGGCCAGCAATGGTGGGACTCACCTGCCTTTTGATCTGCAGTACCAGGGCTGGCCAGCGGGTGCTCCCAGCAATCAGAGACTCAACCTTTCAGCCAGCTAACACCTGGAACTGATGATACTGGTGTATTTAAGGGATGGCCAGACTTGCAGACTCTGCCTTGGTGTTGTGTTTGTCCTAGGCCCTGTATCTGTCCTGCATCCTGTTTCTGTTCCTTTGCTGACTTCTCCTGCTCTGATCCTGGCTTGTGACCCTGACCATCCCTCTGTCTGACCCTCTGTACTACGCTGCTTGCTACCTGTTCTGATCCCTGGCTTGTGACCCGGACCATCCCTCTGCCTGACCCTCTGTACTATGCTGCTTGCTACCTGCTGAACCTGGCCTGTGACCCCGACCATTCTCCGCTTGCTCCCCCTGTACCTACCTGCCCAATTGATATTGACCCGGCCTGCCTGACGACGCTTGCTTGTATGTACTGTTATCTGTGGGTGGTTTGGTTTGTTTGCACCGTATTACGTTTTAGTATTGCACTGCGTTCATGTTTGTACTGTTAGTGTTAATAAATTATATTGTTTATAACATATCTGAGGTCTGCGTTTCCCTGCTTCAGTCACACACCTCTGGTCATACCTGGGAGCCCTGACACATCCATACAGGGAAAGCATGCAAACTGGGATGTAGCCATGACTGGGATTTGAACCCATGACCCAAGTGTTGTAAGTTCTGAGCTCTAACCACTAAATCACTGTGGGAGACACAGTTTGAGCTGCAATGTAGAAATAGTTACATTAGTTTCCCCCAAAAAAAGGGGGCAAATGTCAGTGCGTCTTATGGAGCGAATATAAAGCTGCCGGTCCGGTATTTCTGCTGCCACCATGTCAGAATACCGGGCCGGCCGCTCAGCTGTTCTCTCCTGCAGGGCCTTACCTGTTCCTCGCTCCAGCACTGCACAGTCTTCCTGCGCTGGCTTCTGTGACAGCTGTGTGCTCACTGCGCATGCGCTGCGCATTGTGAATGGTGCGGTGTCTTCTGGGACACAACACAGGTCCCAGAAGGCACCGGGCCATTCACAAAGCGCAGCGCTTCTCACGCATGCGCAGTGGGCACCCGGCTATCACAGAAGCCGGTGCAGGAAGAAGAGGGAAGGACAACACCGCGGAAGTGGGAGCGGGTACCTGTTAAATTCAGGTACCCGCTCCCCCTCCCTCCCCAAAGGTCAGCAGTCTCTGGTCATTCCCTGCACTGTCTGCAGTCTATTGTCATCCCCTGCACTGTCTGCAGTCTCTGGTCATCCCCTGCACTGTCTGCAGTCTCTGGTCATCCCCTGCACTGTCTGCAGCCTCTGGTCATCTCCTGTACTGTCCGCAGTCTCTGGTCATCTCCTGTACTGTGTCCGCAGTCTCTGGCCATTTCCTGTACTGTGTTTGCAGAGATGTCCGCAGTCTCTGGTCATCTCCTGTACTGTGTCCGCAGCCTCTGGCCATCTCCTGTACTGTGTCTGCAGTCTCTGGTCATCTCCTGTACTGTGTCCGCAGTCTCTGCATCTCCTGTACTGATGTCCGCAGTCTCTGGTCATCTCCTGTACTGTGTCCGCAGTCTCTGGTCATCTCCTGTACTGTGTCCGCAGTCTCTGGTCATCTCCTGTACTGTGTCCGCAGTCTCTGGTCATCTCCTGTACTGTGTCCGCAGTCTCTGGTCATTTCTGTACTATGTCCGCAGTCTCTGGTCATCTGTACTCCGCAGTCTCTGGTCTGTACTGTGTCCGCAGTCTCTGGTCATCCCCTGTACTATATCTGCAGTCCATAGGTTTAGAATATTTTTTTTTCTTGTTTTTCGCCTCTAAAACCTAGGTGCATCTTATGGTCAGGTGCGTCTTATGGAGCGAAAAATACGGTATATAATTATATTGGGATTTGAGATATAAGTGTGAAAATGTTTAACATTTGAAGATAGAATGTATGACATTCATTAGTAAATGCATTAGTTTCCTGATCATTTTAGAGAAACAGCAAAAAAAAAAAAAAAAAAAAATTCTACTATAGGTGTACTATTTATTATTCTAAATATTCTCTTTTGCTAAGACAAAAACGCCAATGCTAATAAAGCTCACGCTTGTGAGCCATCTAGCGAACATATCCGGTATTGCACCTAAAAATGTGCCAGACCTGATTCCACATTTACTAATAGCAAAGTAGACGTTGGTTAATGAGATTGCTAGATGCTGCTCAGAAGACTGACAGGTCTTGATTGATTTAACTGAGTCTGCCTGAATGGTCAGAGTCTGATAGTAGACTCACATCTTAGTGAATCAGGGCCTATGTGTCACCTCGCAGGCGATTATACTTTGAAATTTAAGGTGGAGTCCATTACGGGTTTTCAGGGCCACATGGGCAGAGTTGGTTCTGGACCGGATTTTATGCTCCACTGAGGACCACCAACAGGTGGTATATATAAGGGCAGGGCTGGAGCAAGAAGTTGCTCGTGGCCTGGAACTCAGAGAGCCATTCCTGAGAAAGCTGTGCATGAAAGTGATTGTTATACAAACGAGAAAAGGTTTGCTTGTGGTTTTGTTTTGGTTGGTGACAGAGAGAAGCCCTTCACCAGAGAGAGAGGAAAAAGTTCTATGTTTAGTTAGTGCCTGGATGGCAAGGGTTTATTTTGATGTTTTGTTTGTTTTGACATTTTGCGAACCTTTTAAATAAAACTAACAACCAGTCAGATTTTGAAGAAAGCCTGCTGTGTGGTCTACCTTTTTCCCAGGGAAGGAGATACCCCACCTGAGCTACCCCCACAATATATATATATATATATATATGTATACACTATATTGCTGAAAGTTTTGGGACTTCTGTCTTTACACACCCATGAACTTGAATGGCATCCCAGTCTTAGTCCGTAGGGTTCAATATTGAGTTGGCCCTCCATTTGCAGCTAAAACAGCTTAAACTTTTCTAAGAAGACTGTTCACAAGGTTTAGGAGTGTGTCTATGGCAATGTTTGACTATTCTTCCAGAAGGCATTTGTGAGGTCAGGCACTGATGTTAGACGAAAAGGCCTGGCTCGCCGTCTCTGCTCTTATTCAATCCAAAGGTGTTCTATTGGGTTGAAGTCAGGACTCTGGCAGGCTTGCCAAGTTCCTCCACCCCAAACTTGCTCATCCATGTCTTAATGGACCTTGTTTTGTGCAATGTTGGAACAGGAAGGGACCATCCCCAAACTGTTCCCACAAAGTTGGGAGCATGAAATTGTCCAAAATGTCTTGGTATGCTGACACCTTAAGAATTCCCTTCACTGGAACTAAGGGGCCAAGCCCAACCCCTGAAAACCAACCCCACACCATAATCCCCCCTCCACCAAACTTTACCCTTGGCACAATGCAGTCAAGCAAGTACTGTTCTCCTGGCAACCACCAAACCCAGACACATCCATCAGATTGCCAGACAGAGAAGCTTGATTCATCACTCCAGAGAACATGCCAGAGGGGCGGACTGACCATTTGGAAACTCGGGCACTGCCTAAGGGCCTGGGGTCAGTAGGGGGCCCCATGAGATGCCCCTGGTACCTTTTTCATAGGCTTTTTTTAGTTTGGGCAAGGACACAGGGTCCACATGATCCCCTATTGCCCGGGGGCCCCATGAATTGTCAGTCCGCCCCTGCTCCACTGCTCTAGAGTCCAGTGGTGGTATGCTTTACACCACTGCATCCGACGCTTTGCATTGCACTTGGTGATGTAAGGCTTGTATGCAGCTGCTCGACCATGGAAACCCACCCTGTATGCACCATTGTTGTGCTAATCTGAAGGACACACAAAGTTTGGAGGTCTTTAGTTATTGACTCTGCAGACAGTTGGCGACGCCTGCACACTGTGTGCTTCAGCATGCGCTGACCCCACTCTGTCATTTTACATGGCCTACCACTTTGTAGCTGAGTTTCTGTTGCTTCTACTTTGTTATAATACCTAACAGTTGACTGTGGAATATTTAATAGCAAGGAAATTTCATACATGGACTTATTGCACAGGTGGCAACCTATCACGGTACCATGCTTGAGTTCACTGAGCTCCTGAGAGTAACCCATTCTCTCATAAATGTTTGTAGAAGCAGTCTGCATGCCTAGGGTATTTATTTTATACAGCTGTGGCCATGGAGGTGATTGGAACACCTGAATCCAATGATTTGGAGGGGTGTCCCAATACTTTTGGCAATACAGTATATATATATATATATATATATGTGTGTGTATATACATTGTATATAGTGAGCTGGGGATAAGTAGCTGGTACATAAGGCCCTGGGGTAAGCAGTCTCTCAGACACAGCTACCAAATCCAATGAGGTGGTGACAAACATTGCTGGGGGGGGAGGGTATGTATTAGAGGGTCCTAGAGGGAGCCTTAGAAAATCCTGTTTGGGGTTTATAGGTCTCCCAGGTACCTGTCATATACATTTTAGGGATTTCTTATCTGTGGTCCAGTGCAAGGTTTACTCCTCTCTCCACAAGCAATTTAATCTTTCTCAGAACCTGTAGGCAGAGCTCTCGGCCTGGGGATCAGTCAAGTCCTGTCTGAGAGAGTTGAAAGGTTTTTAAAAACTAACAAGCTATATAAGGAGATGCTGACAAGCTGTAGGCTTGCTCAGCCTGTTAGTTTGGACCTATATTTTTGTGAAGTTAGTGATATGACTAGGCTTTTGTTTTGACATTTTTTTTTTGCCTTGCTCATTTTCTGAACCACTGTACAGCACCTGTGAATAGTCTTGTAAATATCACCAATAAACACTGCACTGTTTGTCACCACCTCATTGGATTTGGTATTTGTGTCTGAGAGACTGCTTATTATTATTATTATTATTACACAGGATTTATGTAGCGCCAACAGTTTGCTCAGCGCTTTACAATATGACGGGAGACAATACAGCAACAATACAGTTCAATACAAGAGGGATGTGAGGGCCCTGCTCCTTGGAGCTTACAACCTAGGATTTTATCCCAGGAGCTTACGTACCAGCCATTGATCAGCTCACTATATACAATATATATATATATATATATATATATATTTTTTTTTATATAAACTCAGTTGTCCATAATTGCCTGTTTAATGAATAAACACCACCCATCTGCGACAGTCTAAAGACTAGGCAGGTAAAAAAAAAGGTCCTTCATACTGGCTTTCCAACCCATCATGGACCATGGTGTATGGTCATGTGAGCTACTGCTAAGTGTCCTGATTGGTTGTAAAGCTAGTACCACTCTCCCTCATAGCACTCTGCCTGTCAGAATTAATTATTTCTGATCTCCCCACCTGATCATCTCCCTATCTGCAGATTCAGAGTGAAAGAGAAGTGCTGCCACACCTCTCTTACAAGCAGATCTGCTCAGTTGGAGCTCTTTTCCATCTCACCACCAGCACAGTGAAAGAGAGGTGAGAAAAAACACAAGGTATAATTCACCTGGATACACTAAATAGCTGAAATGATATGCACAGTTGTACTACCACATGCCAAAGTTGCAAAACTGACATTAAGATTTGTGTTACCCTCCATCATGAAGATCAACGTCCAACTCTTGTTTGTTAATAATCCTTTGGGACAATTCTCAGCCGTTTATTCAGTAGTTGGACTCCCCCTGTTTGATGGAGTGTAAGATAAGAGATTTGTAACTAAGCTGTAAATGCTAACTTATTGAAAGTTTTACTTCTTCCTGGAGCTTCTCCTGGGGCATTTCCCCTGCTTCGTCTTCTACGTGTCTTTCCTGTGCTAAAAAATTTAGATGAGAGGAAATTAATGATTCACTACTATTTGATTGTGAGCAGGACTACAACTGTGCACCTCAATTACTGTTGTCTTGCTTTTACTGTATTTTCAGGTTTAAAACCAGTCCTGATAATCTATAATGTTTTATCTGACTGTATCAACTTTTATCATTGGGACTTGTTTGCTATAATTTTCTAGAAATGTATTATGTTTTTCCAGAAAAGATGTTAGATTTTCCCGTGTGCTTAAAATTTCTATGCCTGCATGTCAGGAATTGGTCAGTTCTTCAAATTTCTTTTTTCACCCCTAAATTTGCTGTGTTGTTAGTGCAATGAGGTCAAGGCTGTAAAACCAGTTGTCTCAAAATTCTTTATTAGAGAGACCAAAAGTGGGGCAGATATTGAGTCTTAAAGTGACACTAAAGCTTCATTATTTTTTTTTTTTTGAATAACAAACATGTCTATACTTACCTGCTCTGTGCAGTGATTTTGCACAGAGCAGCCTTTTAAAACAGAACACATATTATTTACACAGGTTCTGTGGCTGATTAAGGCAGTGATTAAACTCACTTAGTGCCTTATCTGCATTAAATTAGCCTCAGAACCTGTGTAATTAATATGCGTTTGGTTTTAAAGGGATTAGGTGGCAACCTGATTTGGGGGGCATAATATTCATATGAATGCCACATTCCTGACACTATTTACATATGAATGCCACATTCTTGTCGCTATTTACATATGAATGCTGCCGTTATTTATATGTGAATGCTGACAAGGTCTGCACATGTGAGTCATCTGTACATGGCAATATCACTGAGCTGGACAGCATAAGTGACAGCATTTCACACTGAGATGAGATATCAGACACAATCCAGGACAAAGACTTCAAGGGACAAGAGTATGTAAACCAGTACAGTTGGCAAGTATAGGGAAGCTGATTTGGGCCCCATAACAATGACTGGGCCTAGGGCAGCTTCCCTTTTGCCCCCCCTTACAGACAGCCC